TCTCAGGGGATGGATCACGGGACCTGGGGACACCCCAACTCGTGCCTCGAGTTCACGTTTGAGGATCTCTGTGGGGACACGGTTGAGGTGTCCGATAAGTTTCAGAGATGCTTCCGAGAGGGGCCCGAGAAGCTAGGCAGGACTCCGAGAGGCTTCTGCCCTGCGTCGACGAGGAGTGCGGACGGGAGGACGTAAAAGTGAGAGTAGGGAACGTCAGAAGCTTGAAAAGGAGAGAACCCTCGTTCCCCCCCCCCCCAACACACACATTGAACAATTCAGAGGAAATGAATAGGTTTTGCCTCTCAGGGCCCTCTTGGGAAGGCTCGTGGGGCTCTTCGGGCGTCTCGAAAGCTTTTCGGGCCGTCTTGGTGTAATTTTGGGCGTCTTGGACCGATCGTTCGGTGATTCGTGCTTTCTTGGGCCGTTTTGAGGGTCTCTTGGGGCTCCGTTGGCCCGTCTTCGGCCCTTCTTGGGCTCGAGAAAGTCATGCGGGAACATTCTGGGGGCCCCAGACGGTGCGCGGGGAGCCCCAAGACATTTGAGAGCTTAGGGTCTGGGCCTACTCGGAATCCTCAGGCTTGAGGACTGAGGCTCAGGGGATTGAGCAAGGGGCCTGGGGCAGCCTCTTGGGGGTCGTTGTGGGGCCTCTTGGGGCCTCTTTCGGGCCACTTGAGGGCCTTCTGGGGCCTCCTGGAGGCCTTTTGCGGCCTCTTGGGGGCTTCGTGGAGCCTCTTGAGAACCTCGTGAGGGGGAAGGTTCCGATTTCCGGTTCGGGCTCCCCCTCTCGGGCCCCCTTGGGGCCGTCTTGGAGCCCTCGTGGGCCGGCTTGGGGCGCTTCTTGGGCTGTCTTGGCGCCCTCTTTGGCCGTTTTGGCGTCGTTTTGGGAGCCCCTTGAGCCGTCTTGACGCAGTCTCGGGGGTCTCTGGGGCCGTCGGCAACGTCGTGAAGGCCGAAATGTCGTATAAGGTAAAATGTACGTTTTCCCTTCGGAAGTGGACGATTTGACCTCGTGGGTCTCGTCGCAGGTGGTTGGATACCCATTGAGCGTGTTGGAGGCGTCTTGCGAGCATGACATGCGTCGGGAATGGCATTTAGAATGGCGTCGGCCCCCTCCCCCTCCATGGTCAGAGCGTCGGAACGGCGTCGGGAATGGTGTGGGCCCCCCGCCCCCGAGCATCAAATGTGTCGGGAATGGCGTCGGGAACGGCGTCCCCACCCCCCCCTTAATGGTGTGGGCCCCCCCCGCCCCCTAGCACTAAATGCGTCGGGAATAGCGTCGGGAATGGCGTCCCCCGCCCCCCCTCCCCCCTTAATGGTATGCCCCCCCCCGCCCCCGAGCATTAAATGCGTCGGGAATGGCGTCGGGGATGGCGTCCCCCCCCCTTTTCAGAGCGAAGCTTGAGCGAGCTCAAGTCCACGCTCTCAGAAACTCACACACCCCATCGGCGGAATATTCTTCAAGAAAGCGGAATGTATTTGAGGCAATCTATCTCATAAAGTTTCCGTGGTGCAATCTAGGTGGCGACGGGGCTGCGATGAGGCGGCGACGGGGCGGCGACGGCGACAACATAGCCACCAGAGCGGCACACCGGCCCAGACGACGGGCGACGAGGCGGCGACGGGGCGGCTACGGCGACAACATAGCCGCCAGAGCCGCACACCGGCCGAGACGACGGGCAGCGACGAGATGGCGACGAGGCGGCGACGGCGACAACATAGTCGCCAAAGCGGCACAACTGCCTAATTGCTGAGAAGAGAAATGAGAACCCTCGGGTGCAAACACTGTTCGGGGAACATGCATATACATGTATATGTGCATGTATGTATTCATTTATATATTTGTTTATGTATTTATGTTGCACTTATTTCTTTGTTTATATACGTATATCACACACATATATATGTTGGTACATTGAGAGGGATAAAAAAAAGGGAGAAAGAGAGAAAGAGAGAGAGAGAGAGAGTGAGAAAGAGAGAGAGAGAGAGAGAGAGACAGAGGGACAGAGAGAGAGAGAGAGACAAAGAGAGAGAGAGAGAGAGAAAGAGAGAGTGAGAGAGAAAGAGAGAGAAAGAGAGAGAAAGAGAGAGAAAGAGAGATAAATATGCAGGGATACGTATATATATATGTATGTATATGTACATATATATATATAGAGAGAGAGAGAGATAGAGAGAGAGAGAGAGAGAGATCGGACAAGCAGATGGGCGTCCCGTCGACAGCCGGCTACTGCGGTAGCCAAGGCCGCCATTGCACGCTTAGCGGTGGTGCCCACCTTGGGGTACGGGGGGTGTTGACCCCCCCCCGGCGCAAAACAACTAATATAAAAGGCGGGGTGCTGAGCAGGCGATGCGCCACGTCTCTCGGCGCCCAGCGGTGGAAGGGCCCAGGTCGGCGAAACCCTTGTTGGCGGCCAGGGACAAGGGCTAGGCCGCTAAGCGGCTTGCGGAAACGGGGCGTTCCCCGTTCCCGCAGCCAGGCACCGATGACGCGTGGTCGCGCGGTGAATCGGGCTGGCCGAGAGAGAGAGTGAGAAAGAGAGAGAGAGAGAGACAGAGGGACAGAGAGAGAGAGAGAGAGAGAGTAAGAGAATCTGATGAGAGAACGAGAGGGATAGAGAGAGAGAGACCGGATAACTGAACGGGAGTCGCGTAGACAGCCAGCTACTGCGGTAGCCGAGGCCGCCATCGCAATGTTGGCGGTGGTGCGCACCTAAAAATACTGGGGTGTTGAAACAACCGCGCCCCCGCGCAAAACGACTGAAGCAAGTGACGGGGTGCTGAGCAGGCGATGCGCCAAGTTTCTCGGCGGCCCGCAAGGGAAAGGGCCCATGTCGGCGAAACTCCTGTTGGCGGCCGTGAAGAGGGCTCTAAGGATGCGCGTCGGAGCCTCTGAGGTATTTTCTGCTGTTGAACGTCTGGGGGGCCTCTTGGGGTTTCTTACGGTCCTCGTGGGGACTTCAAGGGGCGTCTTGGGGGCGTCTCAGGGGCTTGTCGCGCGATCTTGGACTTCTCATGCGGAAGATGCCTTTGGAAACCTCTTCGGCATTCCTCCCTCCGGCCCTTCCCAGGGTTATCTTGGAGGTCTTCTTGGGCCCAGGGCTCTTGCGCCGTATTGGTGATGCGGACACTGTGGGGGCATGTGGCCCGTCCCAAAGGCTCCCGAGAGGCGCCCCAGAGGGCTCCAAGATGCGCCCCAAGGACCTCCATTCCCAGATTATGGCGCACGTTCTTCAATATCTTGTGAGTTTCGGCAAGCCAATGGGTGACTTTGGAACAGAGACCCCCCCCTTGGGACCGCTGCCCCTTTGGACGGATTCCCCCCGCCCCCCCTTACACTGGCCGGGCCAGGGTCCCAAGGGGTTCGGGGAGATGCAAGTGTTTCTCACGCCGAGGACCCCCTGAAGGGTCGGCCAAGTTGGAGCGGCGAGTGCTCGTCCCGAGGCTTTTGCTTGGCAAGACTTGTGCGCGCCACGCATAAACCCCAGGGCCTCGGAGCGGCGTGCCTCGCTCTCTCTCTCTCTCTCTCTCTCTCTTTTTTCTCCTGTTCTGTCGCAGATGCTGCTCCCCCCTCCTCCCCTTCTCTCACCGTGGCCGCCGTTGCCCCCCTCCCCGTCCTCGTTCTCCCCCTCCATCTCTTCTTCTTATCATCATCCTGGTCCTCGCCCTCATCATCCTCGCTTCCGTCCTCTTCCTCCCCTAGTCATTCTCGTCCCTTACGTCCTTGTCCTTCTCGCCTCTCGTCCTCCTCTTCCTCGGTCCCTCCCTTGACTTTCGGTGCCGAGGTGTGCATTGCGCCAGTTCCGCCAAGTCCGATGCCAGCCACCCCGTACAAGTCCATGATCCTCAGCACGTCTCCCAACGGCAAAGGACAGTGAGAGGAGGAAGGGCTTCCGCTGACTCGTACTGTAAAACACTTTTTGTTCGTTTGTTTGTTTGTTTGTTTGTTTGTTTGTTTGTAGGTTTTGTTGGTTGGTTGGCTGTTTGTTTGTTTGCTTGTATGTTTTTCCCATCTCCAAAGGATGGGGCTCGTGTTATTCTCCATCTTCAAAGGATGCGGTTCTTGTTGTTCTCCGACCTCGTCGACTCCTCACTCAAATCTCCCTCTCGCCTCCTCTTCCTTCTCATGTTATTCTATGTTTTGTTATGACATGCTATGTTGTGTTATGGTATGCCATGACATGCGATGCAATGTTATGTTATGGTATGCTAGTTATTCCCCAATAGAGCTTGCCTGTGTAGGGGTCCTAGCGGATTCACATAGTTAGGTGAGGTGCGTCGCCGATTTCGGTGGCCGGCCCCAGGTGCCCGGGTGCCCGGGTGCCCGGGTGCCCGGGTGCCCAGGCGCCCGGGTGCCCGGGTGCCCTGTAGCCTTGTAGCCCTATAGCCCCATAGCCCTATAGCCTTATAGCCCTAATAGCCCTATAGCCCTATAGCCCTATAGCCCCATAGCCCTATAGCCCTACAGCCCTATAGCCCTATAGCCAATAGCCCTATAGCCTTATAGCCCTATAGCCTTATAGCCCTATAGCCCTATAGCCCTGTAACCGTATAGCCCTGTAGCCCTATAGCCCTATAGTCCTATAGCCCTATAGCCTTGTAGCCCTATAGCCCTATAGCCCTATAGTCCTATTGCCCGATAGCCCCATAGCCTTATAGCCCTATAGTCCTATAGCCCCATGGCCTTACCCCAAACACATTATGATTAGCTTTATTTTCCGGTATCATGGTATGTGATGTTTTGCTGTGGTATGCTATGTTCTGGTATGCTATGTTATGTTCTGTTATGCTATCATGGCGATGCTGAGTAATAGTATGATGTATACGATCATGGTGATGCTGATGCTGCTGATGATGATGATGACGCTCATGATGATGATGACGACGATTACGATGATGATGTTGATGCTGATGTTTATGTTGACGTTGATGTTGATGATGATGATGCTGATGCTGATGCTGACGATGATGCTGACGGTGATGATGCTGATGATGATGACTATGATGCTGATGATGATGCTGATGATGATGATGGTGGTGGTGGTGATGATGATGCTGGTGATGATGATGCTGTTGATGATGCTGATTCTGATGATGATGGTGGTGATCATGATGATGCTGATAATGATGATGCTGATGATGCTGATGATGATCATGCTGATGGTGATGATGATGATGCTGATTCTTATTATGATGATGATGGTGATGATGATGATCATCATGATCATGATCATGATTGTGATGATGCTGATGATGATGATGATGATGACGATGATGATGATGATGCTGATGCTAATGCTGATGATGATGATAGGTGATAAATGGTGATTATGATGATGATGATGATGGTGATGGTGATGGTGATTGTGATGGTGATTGTGATGGTGATGGTGATGATGATGATGATGATGATGATGATGAAGATGATGACGATGATGATGATGATGATGATGATGATGATGATGATGATGATGATGATGATGATGATGATGATGATGATGATGATGATGATGATGATGATGATGATGATGATGATGATGATGATGATGATGATGATGATGATGATGATGATGATGATGATGATGATGATGATGATGATGATGATGATGATGATGACGATGACGATGATGCGGAGCAATTTTCGAGAATGTCTCGAGCGAGGCGCGGGTTTCAGCACCTCCAAGGGGGAGCCGCCAGGGGGCATCTCACTCCTCAGTTCGCGTCAAAATGGCGGGGATGTCTCGAGCGGTTTGCCTTTTTGCATGCCCAACTTCCTCCGCTTTCGAAGCAGATTTGGAGGATCTCTCGAGCGAGGCGCTGGGTCTCGCACCCCTGGTGGCCCAGATTGCGAGGATGTTTCGAGCGGTTCGCTTATTTTGCTGGCCAGACTTGTGGGCACGGATCCTCCAGCAGGTCACAGGCGGCCCCAGGAGGTCACAGGATGTCCCAGGAAGCACCAGGAGGCCACTGGAGGCTTCAGGAGGCCACAGGAAGCCGCAAGAGGTCCCAGCCCCAAGAGCTTCCAGAAGGCTCCAGGAGGCCTTAGGAGGCCTTAGGAGGCCTTAGGAGGCCTTAGGAGGCCACAGGAGTTCACAGGAAACGCCAGGAGGCACCAGGAGGCCCCGGAAGGCCCCAGGAACCCCCACGAGGCCCCAGGAGCAGGAGGCCTGAGAAGGCCACAGGAGCGGCTCCAATCCCCGGTGTTTTACGTACATTCCTATAGATTGGGCCTCCCCATGGAGCACGAATCCTTGGTGTTTTACGTATGTTTCTGTAGATTGTCCTTCTCCCGTGTATCCACTGTTAAATGTTTTGCGTGCGTTCCTCTTGATTGGGCCTCTTCTGGGGACGAGTCCTTGGTGTTTTACGTGTGTTTCTATAGATTGCCCCTCTTCTGTGGCTCCCAGCCGAAGTGTTTTTCGCTTGTTTGCAGGGTTTCACAGGTTTCGAGCTGAGATTGTTGTTACCGAAAGCGCTTGGCTCAAGAAAAGGAATCCAGGGGCTCCGCCATTCCGCATGGTAGCGGAGCCTGGTCGAATGCCCACGGCCAGGCTCCCAGTTTCTCGTTTCTCGCGCAGCGATGGCAACAGCGGAGGAGGTTCTGAATAGGATCGTGGCCATGGAAGGCGTCGTGGTTCAGCAGAGAGATCAGATAGCGAGGTTGGAGCAACAACTTCGAGATGCGAATCAGCGAGCAGCAGCAACAGAAGGAGCAGCAGACGACCGACCATATCAACAGAGAGCGGAGTCACTCGTCGACACGAAGCTGCTCGGAAAGCCAGATAAGTTCTCAGGTGAACTCGATGAGAATGCGAAGTACAAGGACGGCGTCACGTGGGAGAACTGGAGTTTCGTTCTGGCGGCCTACTGCATGGCGGTGGACGCTCACATGGCGGAGTTGATGCGGGACGCTGCGAAGGTCGACGCGGAGGCTTTCGCACGCGAAGATCTAGACGAAGAGGCCCAGCGAGTCAACACCAACCTGTACTACATCCTTGTACTGACGTGTAAGGACAAGGCTCAGGGCATCGTGAAGAGCGTTCCCTCAGGAGAAGGCCTGGAGGCCTGGCGGCTGCTGTGTTTGGAGTTCGAGCCGAAGGTGCCGTCGAGGTTCTCAGGTCTGCTGGACTCGATATTGTATCCGAATGTGCAGGAGAACGATCCGATCAAGGGCATCGTGTCTTGGGAGACGTTGGTTCAGAGATACGAAGAGCAGACAGGCGAGAAGGTCATGGAGTCGATCAAGAAGTCTGTTCTCAGTGCGCGACTGGTGCCGTCAAAGCTTCGAGAACATCTCATGCTGAATGCGACGAGGTTCACGACGTACGCGTTGGTACGAGCTGAGGTGTTGGACTACTTGAGGTCGAAGCAGGCGGCGATGGCACTAAGTGGACCTGCGCCTATGGATCTGGATGCGCTCACGTTCGGCAAGTTCGGCAAGGACTCGAAAGGCAGGTGCGGCAAGGACAAGAACAAGGGCAAGGGCTACGACCAGAGCGCGGTGCAGCCTTGCAAGTATTGCGGCAAGAAAGGTCACGAGCTCATGGAGTGCAGGAAGGCCGCACAGGACATGAAGGACGGAAAGATTACGAAGGAGGACTTGCGAACGATCAGCAAGGGCAAGGGCAAGGGTAATGGCAAGAGCGACAAGACGAAGAACACACCTGCGCCCGACAAGCCCAATGATCAAGACATGAAGTTCTTAGGTTGCGATTGCGACGCCGAGGAGGGCTACATCTTCATGCTGAATGAGAACGAGACTGAGGAGCTAGGTCAGATTTCGGGTTTAGATCACGCGGAGGTAGGCGGATACACTGTGAATCTAGATAGCAAGACGGAGCCCAATCACAATTTCAACGAGAATGTCGAGAGCTACCTGATTCTGATAGAGTTCGAGAATGACAACGACGGTAAGATCGAGGTGATGGTTGATTCATGTGCGGCACGGAGTGTTTGCCCACCTGATTTCGCACCAAGAATACCACGAGGAGAAGCGGACGCACCGCCACTACGACAGGCAGATGGTACTAAGATCTACGCGAACGGCTGCAAGACGGTACAAATGCAGGTGGCTGGGACTCGACAACCAATTCGAGGACAGTTCGATGTGCGAGACGTTCACAAGACGATCATTGCGGTTAGCGACCTGACGAAGGGAGCTCAAGGTGTATGGTTCGACGAAGGCGGTGGAGCAGTGGCCAATCCGAAGGTCAGCCAGCGGATCAGGGAGATGATCGAGTGCGAGAACGCGAACAACCAGTTGAACAGACCACTGAGGATCTCGCAGAGGCGTGGGATCTACAGCTTCGACGTGGACGCGAGCACGCTCTGCCCTCTAGAAGGTGATGAACCTGAACAAGCTCAGCAGCCGGCGGGGCAGGAGGAGGAGATCGAGACAGACGAGGCGCGACCGCCGAAGGTCAAGAAGGAGAGGTGCAAGCCCACAGCGGGGGAGATAGCCACCCACGAGAAGACGCACGTGCCGTATCGGGACTGGTGCAAGTGGTGTCTTTGGGGCCGAGGCAAGGAAGATGGTCGCGAGAAGGCTAGCCCAGAGGAGGCGCCGACGATTCCAGTCATTAGCATGGACTACTGCTTCGTGAACGCCGAGCTGGAGACGGAGATGGTCAACATCCTGGTGATGGTGCAGAAGCCTGAGGATGCAGTTGCTTCCATCGTGGTGATCCACAAGGGGCCCAGCGAGTGCGTCAACTCAGCGGTGGAGTTCTACTTGGACGTTTGGGGAGCAGCGTATATCATCCTGAAGGGCGACCAGGAGCCATCACTACAAGCGGTGATCACGGCGGTGAAGAACAGGAGGAACCACAGCACGCAGGTGGACAAGGCTCCTAAAGGTTCTCATCAGAGCAACGGTGCGATTGAGAACGCGGTGGCGAGAGTGGAGTCGTTACTACGTACACTGCGCAGCGAGCTGGAGGTGAAGTTGGAGGTGAAGATCGGACCCGAGAGTTTGATCATGCCGTGGTTGGTTAGGCACGTGGGGTACTTGCTCGCCAGGTTCGCTATCAAGACGGATGGCAGGGCAGCTTGGGAACGACTGGGGCGCGCGAAGTTCAAGTCAGAGCTCGGGAAGATCGGAGAGACGATCGACTACAAGATACAGGCTAAGGACTACTCCAAGCTGGAACCGAGGTGGGGCGAAGGTATCTTCTTGGGCAGGCGCGACGAGAGCGACGAAATCATCGTAGGTACGTCGAGAGGGATCGAGCACGCCAGGACGATGAAGCTCAGGGCCACGGGGGACAAGTACAACAAGGAGGTCTACAACACGTTCATAGGAGTGCCGTGGAATCCCAGGGGCTTGGAGGTGAAGGATCAGAATGCGGTGGTCAGGAGACGGAGGTACATCACGAAGGCGCTGATCGAGGAGTATGGACCTACAGATGGGTGTGCAGCATGCGAAGGGAATTCATCAATACACAACGCGAGGTGCAGGGCGAGGTTCGCCAAGATCTTCGAGGAGGCCGAGCCGAGGATCGAGATGGCATCAGAAGATCAGCCAGGACAAGCGCAACCTGCAGCAGCACCAGCGGCAGTTCCAGCAGCACAGCCACCACCAGCAAATGCTAGAGTAGCAGAACCACGACTTGAAGCAGCAGGTCAGCGAGCTCCAGGTACACCGGTTGGTCATCACTTCGGACGGGAGCTGCAGATCGAGCAGGGCGCGGAGATGACGGGTAATGCGATCGTAGCTGGAGGAGATGTGGCACCTACTACGCCAGGACGGGAAGAGGCGATGGAGATAGGCATCACCATGTCGATCGCGAAGGATGAGGACCGCCACGTCTGCGAGGAGCTGGAGCCGAGGGTGAACTACGACAAGCTGGTGGGTGACGGAGTCTACAGAGACGCGTACACAGGCGAGGAGTTGTTGAAGGAGCTGGTCATCAACGGCAGGACGAAGGAGATGAAGAGCATGGATGAGTTTGAGGTCTTTGAGTGGGTACCGCTTGAGGACTGGATGAGGCCGTTCGACACCTAGTGGATCGACAGCAAGAAGTACGACTTACAGAACAACGAGTGGATCGTGAGGAGCCGATGTGTTCACAGAAGGTATAGCGCCCTCGAATTTCGCAGGGACACCCGCACTATGGGTGGTTAAGCTGGTGATTTCGAGAGCAGGAGAAGGAAGCTTGGTCTATTCGACATCTCAGTGGCGTTCTTTCACGCGTCGCTGAAGGAGCCCCAGTGCTGCTGGCCACCACCTGAACAGCGACGACCAGGGATGCTTTGGAAGTTGCAGAGGGCGATGTATGGGACGCCAGAGGCGTCGATGTTATTTCAAGGAGAAGTTCGAGATAACTTCAGCCAGACCGGGTGCGAGGAGTTGAAGACGGTGTGCTGCCTGTTCTACCATCCTGGCAAGGACTCGCTCTGTGCTGGACATGGAGATGACTTTGTGGTGGAGGCGTACGACGAGGAGCTGGATGAGTTCGACGAGCTCATGGCCAACAGGTTCAAGGTCAAGTCTCAGCCGAGAGTGGGGCCAGGAGGAGCAGCTGAAGGTACTTTTCTCAACGGGACGGTGCTCTGGGGCGAGGAGGGCTTCGGCATTCCACCATGCCCGAAGCTGATCTTGAAGATGGTGGAGTTGTACGAGCTGAAGCAGGCCAAGCCGGCAGAGACACCGAGTTCGAAGCACACTGCCAAGGGGGTTCGAGAAGCTGAAGACCCAGTAGGACGACAGAGCTCTACGTTGTACAGGAGTTGCGGTGGCATCGCACAGTATATGGCTGGGGATCGTTGGGATATTCAGGAAGCAGTTCGAGGTCAGAGTTGTTCGTGCAGCGACCCGCGGGTGAGGCACATACTCAAGCAGAAGCGTCTGGTCAGGTATCTGAAGGGCACGGCCGACGTCGTGATATTCTACCCGTATCAGCAGGAGACGTTCAAAGTGACGGTGTCGGTGGATGCGGACTGGGCTGGACAGGAGGCGACATGCAAGAGTATTTCATCAGGTGGAGTTCGATTAGGAGCTCATCTACTGGAGAGCTGGGTACTATCTCAGGCGACGGTGGCGCTCTCAAGTGGGGAGTCGGAGTTCTACGCGATGGGTTCGGGCACAGCCAGAGGTCTCACCATCCAGCACGTGTTGCAGGAAATGGCGCAGATGAGGAACGAGGAGGTCAAGATCACTCTGGAGTTGGAGACGGGCTCGGCAGCGGCGAAGGGCATGATCCACAGACACGGAGTAGGACGAGTACGACATCTACAGGCGCGGTGGAGCTGACATCAAGATGTGGTACGAGACGGAGACATGGAGGTGGTGACGGTCAATACGAAGGACCAGGTGGCGGACATAGGAACGAAGCCGATGGACAAGGACACGCTCAGGAGACACATGAAGACGCTGGGTTTGATTTCAATCAAGGCGACGAGTTTCAAGGACCCAGAGGTGCTCACGAAGGTTTTGGCGGTAATGACGGCCATTACTACGAGGATGGTTTCAGAATCAATGTGAACATGAAGAGCGAGTTCAACTGGTGGGGTTTCGTTTCGCACTTGGTGGTTACGATTGTGGCAGAGGTTTTCAGTTACTACGTGTTTGTGGTAAAGGCGAAGCAGGACAGGGTTGTGGGTCAATCTTTAGAGACACGAGGTGCCTTTGGGTTGTGGTCCACGCCATTTCGACATGTACGAATCGAAGAGGGTTGTGGGTTCCTTCAGGACCCGAGGTGTAACCTTCAGGGCCCGAGGTCAGGGTCAGATGAACGATCACCGTCGAGGCGACGCAGGAGAGATGCTTCGCCAGAGACAGAGGTGCAGTTCAAGAGGATGAGGTCAGTTGAGGTCCAAGGGCCAGTGACCTACAAGAGCAGGAGCAATCTACATTATGAGGCTGATGGTCGGTATACGCCGTTGGGTACTCAAGATTGGGGAGCTTGAGATACCGTCTGTGTTGAGCAGTGCTGGCTTGTTCAGAAGATATACGACGGAGATTGATCGCCTCCCGAGGTCGTAACGCGCGAGAGAGAGAGAGAGAGAGAGAACGAGATAGAGGCCGATATCACGTGAATGAAGGTTTCCTTTGCCATGGCTGTTTCTTTACACGAGACGGAACCGAACGGGTTTCGGCTAGCACTGTTGTAATTACTGATGTAACTTGAGATGGTGGGCTGACGAGCCCGCCAGCGTGCACAGCGGCCTCGAGGAGGGCTGCAGGGTTTCACAGGTTTCGAGCTGAGATTGTTGTTACCGAAACCGCTTGGCTCAAGAAGAGGAATCCAGGGGCTCCGCCATTCCGCACTGTTCGTATAATATGTTGGGCCTCTCCTGGGGCACGAGTCCTCCCCAGGAGGCCGCAGGATGCTCCAGGAGGCTCTTAGAGGCCACACGAAACCCCGGGAGGCCTCACGAGGCCACAGTCAGCCCCAAGAGGCCCCAGGAGACCCCAAGATGCTCCAGGAGGCCCCAGGAAACCCGAGGAATTTTCGAGAGGCCCCAAAAGGCCCCAGGCTCATGCGCAGAAGCGCACTGATACTACTGAGACTCATTCACACTCCCACTCATTCGCAGTCAGATTCACTCCCAGACTGTTAGTTCTCAAGCCCGCCTATATTCGAAAACTCTTGCGCCTAGACGCTCACGGCGGACAGGTCCATGCTGATACATGCACATGTGGGGAGCTCCACGCAGTGAATGATTACTCCGATCGCGCCGAGAAGTCACCTCCCTCCTCCTCCTCCTTCTCATGTAATGTTCAGAGAGAGGGTGCCCGAGCGGTCTTACTCTGTCCCTGCTCGCGTTCGTCCATCTTGGGGTCGTCTCTTCGGCGGCCACGCTGGGAGGCCACGCTGGGAGGCCACGCTGGGAGGTCACGCTGGGAGGCCATGCTGGGAGGCCGCGCTTGGAGGCCACGCTGGGAGGCCAGGCTGGGAGGCCACGGTGGGGGGCCACGCTGGCACGCTTGGAGGGCTCACCGAAGAGGGGCGGTGTGTCCGTAGCGGTTTCGGTTCAAACACCGGTATCAGCAAGCGCGTCGTGGCTTCTAAGAGCGCCGCCAGGCACCCTCTCTTTCATCCGGAACTGCGGGGGATTTGGTATATTATTTCGTGACATGACATGATATGCTATGCTATGTTATGCTGTGTTTCGTTGTTGTATGTCATGCCATTATATGGCATCCTATCGTATGATATGGTATGTTATGGTATGCGATGCTATGTTTTGTTATGTGCTGATCTACGGTGTTATGCTATGACAATGAATATGATGATGAGGATGAGGATGATGATGATGATGATGATGATGATGATCATGATGATGATGCTGATGATGATGACGATGACGATGACCGTGACGATGCTGATGATGATGCTGATCATGCTGCTGATGATGATGATGATTATGATGATGCTGCTGATGATGATGATGATGTTGCTGCTGATGATGATGCTGATTATGATGATGATGATGATGATGACGCTGATGATGATGATGATGATGATGCTGATGATGCTGATGAGGATGATGATGATGATGATGATGATGATGATGCTGACGATTATGATGATGCTGATGCTGATGCTGCTGCTGCTGCTGATGATGATGATGTTGATGATGATGATGATGACGATGACCATGATGATGATGATGATGATGATGATGATGATGATGATGGTGATGATGATGATCATGATGATGATGATGATGATGATGATAATGATGACGATGACGATGATGATGATGATGATGATGATGACGATGATGATGTGGATGATGATGATGATGATGATGATGATGATGATGATGATGATGATGATGATGATGATGATGATGATGATGATGATGATGATGATGATGATGATGATGATGATGATGATGATGATGATGATGATGATGATGATGATGATGATGATGATGATGATGATGATGATGATGATGATGATGATGATGATGATGATGATGATGATGATGATGATGATGATGATGATGATGATGATGATGATGATGATGATGATGATGATGATGATGATGATGATGATGATGATGATGATGATGATGATGATGATGATGATGATGATGATGATGATGATGATGATGATGATGATGATGATGATGATGATGATGATGATGATGATGATGATGATGATGATGATGATGATGATGATGATGATGATGATGATGATGATGATGATGATGATGATGATGATGATGATGATGATGATGATGATGATGATGACGATGGTTGTGGTGATGATGACGACGATGGCGGAGAAAATTCTGAGGATGAGTCCAGCGAGGCGCTGGTTTCGGCATCCGAAGGAGGAGCCGCCAGGGGGTATCTCATTCCTCCGTTCGCGCCACAATGGCGGGGATGTCTCGAGCGGTTTGCCTGTCGTCGCCCTTAACATCCCCCGCTTTCGGAGCAGATTTGGAGGATGTCTCGAGCGTGGCGCTGGTTCTCGTGGGCACGGATCCTCCTCAGGATCCCACAGCAGGCTCCAGCAGGCTCCAGGAGGCTCCAGGAGGCTCCTGGAGGCCCCAGGAGGCATCGGGAGGCCACAGGAGGCCGCAGCAGGCCCCAGGAGGCCACGGGAGGCCCCCGGAGGGCCCGAGAGGCTCCAGGAGGCCCCAGGAAGCACCAGGAGGCCTTAGGAGGCCTTAGGAGGCCACAGGAGGCCACAGGAGTTCACAGGAAGCGCCAGGAGGCACGAGGAGGCACCGGAAGGCCCCGGAATGCCCCGGGAGCCCCCACGAGGCCCAGGAGCAGGAGGCCTCATGAGGCCATAAGAGTGGCTCCAATCCCTGGTGTTTTACGTATGTTCCTATAGATTGGGCCTCCCCTGGAGTACGAATCCTTGGTATTTCACGTATGTTTCAAAAGATTGCGGGTATTGATAATTACTCCGACGGTGGGACCCCACATGATAATCTTCTTCATTGGTCTTGATGTACTCCTCATTGTCGTCCTCGTGAGAGCGGAGGCCGACTTCCTATCTCTCCCTCTTTCTTTTCTCCTCGCCCTGCTGGAGGCTCTTT